AAGCCTTTAAAAAGATCAAGGAGCACATATTCTTGCTCGCCGTGAAATTCTCTATCGAATGATATATAAGACATCGAAAAATAAAATTTTTACTGTAACTTTGCTTTACGTGCACCTTACTAATAAAAGGATAAAACAAGCGTCTTCTCATATGAGAGTAGCAGAGAGAGAGGTATAGTACGAAGCGCTTTCTACTACTATACTTTCAAGAGGTGTGTATGACCTTTGAATGAAAAACAACGCTCAAGCCTCCCTTCGATCGCGTTCGCTACTGGACTATCTGAATTATGTAGTGAATATTTCCTATTCATCTAAGGGGGCTGGACGTATTCGTAATCGATTCTCTGTAATAGACTATCTATATTCTGTAAGTTTTTATCGGTAGATGATTTTTTTGTGTTATAAAAATTGACTGATCTTTTTATGCCCTCTCTCTTTTTTGTACCTTTGGTAAGGTGATATGTGTTTAGAATATGCAAAGTCAGATAATTTTTTTGATAATATTTTCTTTTAATCTATTTTGACAATCCATATTCATGGATATCTTTTACCAGTAGTTGATTTTTTTCTCAAACGACAAGTTTTGTGCATAAGTGGCTCTTTTGGCTACTTGCATTTTTTCGATTGTTTTTGTTGCTAGGCAGTAGAAATAAATGAATTCAAGGCAAATATACAAAGAGGAACTATATGAAATCTATACATAGAATCCATACAATACATCTACAGAACCTTTTTTGAATGCAGAGGATGAAAAAGAAAAGGTATCGTATGAAACCTTGTTCGTGCAGAACCCAAAAAAGGTTTAGAAATGATTTCAGTTCTCGAAACCCCTTTTCAGATCCGACTTTTTTTTGTTTAGAGTATTCTCAAATCAAATGCTAACCGATATTCTTCTCAATAGTTCATAAAACATCGACATGTTTTTCATAATCTTCATGTCAGCAGTATATGTATTTGTGTGCAATCTGTACTACTATCCATTTCAAAAATAAAGGGCACTTAGCCACATTCTAAATAACTTTTTACAGGAGCATGATAGAGATCTGCGGTTTTCAGTATCTGAAAGTAAAATTTCGGGGCTATCGAAAAATGCGAAAAAAATTTCCCCCCAACAGTTCCAGATGGTGTACCTTGCGAGGACATTTTACAGGCGACCTCCGACCATCGAAAAACAGTCATAATTTCATTTTACTCTAATGGCTTCGAACCACGGACTCGTGATCTACAAAACTATACCACTTACAAATTTGTATCTTTTACCGTTCAGGAGTTACGAGACATTTTCTCAGACTGCCTGAGGAACGCTTTTTTGCAAGCGAAAACTTTCGAAATTAGTTTTAACTATAGGTTTTCAACCACGCTGAGCATCGTGGCAACATTTGTTTTTGTGTAGAAATGAAAATAACTTCACCAGAAGCATTTAAGTGAAAAACCGGTTTTCCGCCTGTCACCAGCCAAAATTAAAACCTTTATATCTCGGTTAAATCTCTTTCTGACTCAATGAAATTTTGAGGGAGGACTTAAAAGGCGTCATATATTGTTGATCAAGTCGACAATGGGGTCCAGCACAACAATGAGGTGTTGAGATTTTCCAGTAGGTTTCTGGAAAACCTTAGCCCCATACCCGGCTGAAGTTAAATTTTTTCGTCTCTGACCATGATTTTTGAGCTGTTCTGTGCGTTTCCTCAAAATTTCATTGAGTCAGCATGAGATTTAACCGAGATATAAGGGTTTTAATTTTGGCTGGTGACAGGCGGAAAACCGGTTTTTCACTTAAATGCCTCTGGTGAAGTTATTTTCATTTCTACACAAAAACAAACGTTGCCACGATGCTCAGCGTGGTCGAAAACCTATAGTTAAAACTAATTTCGAGAGTTTTCGCTTGTAAAAAGCGTTCCCCAGGCAGTCTCAGAAATTTGTGAGAAAACAAGAGTTAATGGCTCAACAACTGTAGATGATGAATTCATCTTCTTTCAAACGATGTCTGGATGTCTTCTGTGTTTATTAAAAAAACTTTCTGCAACACTAATGTCTCGGAAAACTAGCTTCCATTTTATATATGAAGACTTTTATTAAGGCTAATCTTTTATTTTTCTGCCTTTAGTATTAAGTCTTGTTTCTCGCATTTGACTGCTAATACCTTTTGAATAGAGAGGAAATGTGTCTAAAAGAAAACAGTTTATTTTCATTATGAAAAGGGTGGTTTCTCTCCTATTATATCTTTAATGAGCTCGTGCGTCGTATTCAGAAATATCACATTCAGCTGTCAGTGATTTGAAATTTAGAAAATATGAAATTGCCTTTGACTAGAAGCAAACACCTCAAGCCTTGAAAATAGGTGTGGAAAAACCTCATAAAGCCTGATCAGTTCTTTAGCGGAGCAAGAAACTAGACCTGCTCAGTAGTCAAAACTAGTCCGAGAAATTCTATTTCGGATGAGGTATTGGTTATAACCAACAGAATTTATAAATTCTGTTGCTTAGTCGTCATTTTACAAATGGGACTTTAGCTAGGGGAACAATTAACGTTAATTACTACTAATTAGTCGGTAACTGGAAGGAAAGAACAAAACATTTTACATATTTCGCGTAGTAAGTATTTTCCACACATTTCTCTATCGATCTAGGCGAGAACCAATTTTTTATGATGAATGGAGAATAGACGGGAATATTTTCGGAGACATTAGTGATGCAGAAAGTCTTTTTAATAAACACTTTGTTTTGCAGAGTAATCTTTACTCTATCTTTCGGTCTATTTAGAAAAATCGTTCGGTTTAATCTGACTGTTTTCAGAATCCTTATACTCATTTAAAATAGCTCTGATCCGCAAAGTCCTACAAAAACTCTGAGCACAGATTCGATAAGACGACAGTGTTTTGGTTCTAACCCGATCTAAAAAATAACTAAAACCTTTCTTAATAAGACACAATTGTAGCTCGCACATTTCAGATTAAATTGAGACATCTCCCAGCCCTCCCTACACGACCTTTCTTTGCAAAGTTGAAAAATTTACAAGAAAAGTCCTAAATTCCTTATTTCTGTAGCTTTGAGCTGACAATGAACATTTAGGATTTTTCTTGCAAATTCTATAACTTTGCAAAGACAGGTCGTGTAGAGCTGAGAGATGTCTTATTTTAATCAGAAAATGTGCGGGCTACAATTATGCGCTTAGTTGTTGATCGTGATTCCGAATGTAATATTTGTATCGTATAAAAATTGATTTCTGATGGAGAAAATTGAGAATTAGCAACAGATTTCTGACTTTTTCACATTTAATTTAGAAAAAAGAAATTTTCTCCAGAATGAAACATTACAGGAAAAACGCTCAACGTACTTTTGTTCTTCATCTCAAGGTGAGTCGATTACAATATGAAAAAGAAATTTTTTGTATCGAAATTTCCATGTGAAGCTAGACTTGGAACAGTGGTAATGCGATTATAAACATTCTCCGAGTCTTCCTTGTCCCGTAAGTACCTGGATTACGAATTTAATATTTTTAACCGACAACGTTATGTTGAAAAATTTTAAAATGATATCAGAGTTCGTAGTATTCGCTTTCAAAAACAAGGAACAGGAGAGGATTTTTCTCCTTCGAAAAACATGAAAGTTAATAATCTTGTTTTAGAAATACAGGAAATAAGCGATTGCAGAAAAATGACAAGCGAGATTTATCACAATGTGTTAAATAATGTATGGCTAGGCATAAACTAAAAATTCACTTGACGTTATTTAAAAAATTTTATACAGCATTCAAACATAGTCATAGATAGTAGTAGATATCAAGCTTATATCTCTTTTTATTTATCCGTCCAGTATTATTATTGTTGTTTTCTTCCATCTTCCCCTTTTCTATACGTACAACAACTAGAGATGAGTGGAACCAGCCTTTTTTGGTCCCGTTTCCGTAGAAAATTGTTTGGTTTTGGTGAAAATTTTGGCTATAGAACATGAAAAAATTTTCCCTTGCTGGTTCAATGGGGCTTTTTACTATTGTACTGCATTGTACAGCTTTCTACGGCCTTGCAAGAAAAAATTTGACAGTAGAACGAGTTTGAAACTCACATTAGAATTTGATCCTACAACAAAAGTTTACTTTTACGGAACCAGTTTTCTTGTGCCTGATCCTGGTTCCAGCCCCGCCAGAATCGGGACCGTCCCACTCATATCTAACAACAATATCATACTTCATTTTACTTTTCTTTACTCTTTATTGCTTCGTTTTCATTTTTTTAACTTCTTTCGTTTAGTATTTCGACATGAGTGTGTAGAATTTATACAGTCAGTCTTTTTGGGGACATTCTGACCCTGAGTGTAAACATCATTTATGTTAGTCTTCTCTTCTCTTGGTTGACTGAAAGAAACTGAAGTAAGAATATTTGTTTAGCTGGCTGATTGGATTCACGTAAGAGGCAGACTTTCTAACTGATTTCACCCCAGTAAACAGTAAAACTGCAGAAAAACATCAAAATACAGGAAAAACAGGACAAATACGAAGCCTGTAATATTTTCTTAACCAGTTTGATGAGTTATATCTAACGGTATCAAAAAAATGAAAAATAAATTTTGTTGACTTTTTGCAGCTTAATTTATTTACTCACATCTAGAGCAGAGAAATAATTCATTTCTCCTCTAAAAATCCGCGGAGCAAAACCTTAAGTGTGTATAAAGCTGTGTAAAAAAAATTTTGAAAAAGATGCAAAAGTTCAAATTTCAGTGAGATAACGACGCTAGATTTACGTCTACTATTGTTCGTTACGAGTTAACAAACTCCCTTAAATAATGTAATGAATGCTCTATCAATTTGAAAAACAATATGATTTTGTTTCTTAAATGCAATAGCTGAACCATAATCATTTCCAACAATACATTGCCAATGGCGACCATATTTTCGATTCATATCCGATTGAATTTGTTTGGCTATATTGGACCGTTGACCAACATGATAACCACCATATTTTTTAATTGCTTGTTGTGCAATGTTAATTGACTCTTGTTGAACGGGTTTTAACATATTAGCCTCACGCACAATAGGAACACCACCCGAGCTATTCCGCGATGATATGATTGACATTCCTCTTGATAATGTTGTAGATGGTGTTGTTACAGTTGTTTTTGCATGAAAAAAACATTGATATGCACCAATAAAACAACAGAATGTAATAATAACAGATATATTCATGTTTGATTTTAAAATGAACAAGTTTTAACTTTAGTGATTACTAACTTTTTTTTGACTTACTCAGACAATATAAAGATGATTATTTGATTTTAGAGCAAAATACTCTAAAGAAAAATGTTTGCTTCTTTTTAATACAATTTTTATCTTTTTTACGGTGTTATGAATAACACGGTTCCATTCATTCTTATCGTTAACAGTTTAAATGAAACAAAATACAATAGAATGTAATTATTATTTTGTTTCGTTTCTCCGATTACCTTTGAAATAATCATTGAAAACGTTTTGTATATCTTTCAAGTGCAAAACGAACAGAAATGTTCCAGGCTGCCAATTGATTGTTGGTCCTTGGAAGTTTGATCAAGGCTTGATAAACCTACACGTATAATAGTCGAAGATCCACTTAGACTTTTAGACTTCGTAGGTTTTCCTGTTTTTCTTTTTCTTTATTATGTCTCTTCAGCACCACTTTCTTAATCTTTTTCTTAGCATTTTAAATGTTCTTTCTTTTTTTCGTCCAACTATGAAAGATGTTCTTTAGGTGCTTCCCGATCTCCGCCTGATTCCATAGTTATGAAGTTCCTGTATGAAAGAAGTTCTGTACAAATATGTTTTTCTTTTAGACAGATTTTGCTATGAAGTCAACAAACAATTCTGGAAAAAAAATATGGACTAGAAGTCGATAAAATTTTTATTACAGTACGAGCCTCTTTCTCATCATTCGTGCACAAAATCATCAGTCTGCATACCTTGAGCACGATAAAAAATTTGAAATTAATTTCTACTAAAATGTAGAAACTCTTTACGTCTCGTTAATCTGTCTTTTTTAATAGATTTTATTGTACAGTTGGAGGAAATTTTTGGGAGCCGATTGGACAGAAGGTAAAAAAAGATATTTCAGAATATTGAAATATGAGAGTTTCACGCTTGCAAAACAGTCTGTTTTGTCCAGTTTATTCCGCTCTTTCGATTGATATAAAGTAAATGCAAAATTATACAGTACAAATCAAAAGAAAACATAAATGAAATACAAAAACAGACGATTATAAGCCATTTTTGAGCATTTTTTCGGCGTTTCTCACAAGAATTTCATATATCGTTAAGCAAAAGTTTCTAAAACTTAAAAATCCGGATTTATGCGTTATTTTTGATGGAAAATTGAACACACACAATTAGAGATAAAACAAAATTTGACAGATTATGTCCACTTGTATGCACAGTTCATTACTTTTATGGAGTGTCTCTTAAAAAGGAAAAAGCTCTATCTATGACAAAAGAAAAAATAGAAACTTAGCTTCTCTGTTAAACCATAATTTAATGGTTTTCGACCAAAATTTAATAGTTATAAGGAGGATTAAACGCAGAGCTGCCACTCGTACAAGTCAGAAATCCGGAAAAAAACAAAAATCCATTTTCACTGCCTTATTTAACCTTTTTTCTATTTCACAGAGTGCCAAAAAAGGTTTCTTCTTCAGTTCTATATGATTTTACTCGATAAAATACAAGAAAATAACAAACACAAGTATAAATTTCGATTTTAATCTACATGCTATTTTTGGAATGTATATTTTTGATCCAAAAAGTAACTTTCTCTTTAATTGGCCTGTAATGTGAGAAAAGCAACCTCCGCAAACTATAGATCAAAAGAAACGCTTAATAGCCTTCATAACCAGGGTTAAAAACAGCCAAAAATAGATTAAAATCCGAACAAGGTGGCAGCTATGGTTAAGCGGATAGGTTAACTGAGGACCGTTGGCCGCTGCATCTTTTGTTTAACAGGAACATAGCGAGATAAGTATATTAACAAATATAAAATCAACTAAAAGGAAAGTGCCCTTAAACCTAACTTAGGTTCATGACCTTAGATTTATTATAATATAAGAGAATATCTGATAAGAGATTATATATGGAAAAAAGTTTTATTTTCACTTCTACTCGGACTGATTAGAGACCTGGATGAACACTTTCTTTTTGTCCATGAAATGTTCGCATTTTTTGGACAAGTTTTGCGTATGAAATTTGTATATGATTCAACAGATAATTTGAACCAGAAGTTGGCTGATACGGAATTAATTTTTTACAACTATGACATTAAACGAAATTTTGAAGAACTGTATCATAACGTAAGAGAGAAAATGTTTTCCAAGCTTTACTTCCATAAGCAACTACTTCAGATTTTTCAATTTGAATACTTTTGCTCTTTTGTCTGATTGATTTATCCAAATCCTTCTCATTTATTTTCAATGCAATTGTGAAGTGAAAAAGATATTTATTTATTTTTTCAGCGGAAGGAAGAATAACAGTAGACTATATACATATAGAACATCGAGATAAACACGTTTTTCTTTTTTCAGTGCAGTAAAAACATGTGTTGAGAGATGATATAGACTATATTTCGTTTGTTTGTTCAAAAATATCTTACCACTGGCGTTTTGCTTGGAAAAATATTTAAAAGTTTTTCGGTTTGTCCATGACCATCTCTGTCCATGGACAAACTTAAAAAGACTGTCCGTATCTGTGGACGTCCATAGACATGTCCATCTAATGCAGGTCTCTAGTGGTGAGTCATTGAAACCATAAAAGAAGAAAGAAAGAAAGAAATGTTCATTTTCCTTTTCTCACACTCCTGTGCAGAGTTCTATCTGTCTAATAAGAAGAAGTACTAAACACTGAAAGATCTAAATATAACGCTTGTGACAGAACAAAGTATATGTCGCAGTACTACGACACATCATATACGTTATATTTTGTGTAGTAGTTGTTTGAGTTAAATGAAAAGAATAGAAAAGAAATGTTTTTTTCTTTTCTCTTTACAGATACATGTGTGTTGCCTGAAACACATGAAAGAAAAAAATGTTTTATATAAGTACTATTTCTTTGTTATTAGTTCATATAATGCAAGCGCAAAAGAACGTGATGCATACAGTTTACTTTTTGAACCATACAGCTGTTGTTATGAAAACTATACAAACTTAGTCTTTTAAAGTTAAAACAGAAATAGTAAGTAAGTAGTAAGTATACCGTGATACCTGTCGGTGTAGGGTGGGATAAAATAAAAAGCTTAAGTATTTTTTGGCCTCTGGAGCTGTTCGTTCACTGGTTATTCCTTGAGGTTGAAGCTTCTTTTGACAATTGAGACATTCATAACTGCTGTTAGAATCTTTCACCAATACTTCAGTCGCCTTTCGCTGAGTAATTCCATGTATAATGGCTAGTTCTTCTGATCTTCTTCTGTTTGCACGATCTTTGTACTCCTGTATTATTGACTTGATGTTTGAAGGAACAAGAGTGGATTGTACATATCTGTTAATTAATTCACGCCAGATGTTTTTGTCTCTAGTATCTTTTCTCCAATTTTTGATACCGAACTTGTCAATGTCATCCATTATCTTGTTTTCCCATCTTTTCCTTATACTACCATTTCCAGGACATTTGTCACCAAGCAAGTAGAAAAACATTATCCTCTTAACTAGAGCTAGCCCATTTCTATGTTGTATTAGATTTGCATAGTCAAGCCATCTCAAGCGATTACGGGGCATCCGATTTTCAACTGAGGGTTAACCCGACAGCTGCATTATTTCGTGATTTGAGACATGATCACCTAAATTCAGACCCAGTATCGTTCTCAAACATCTCATGTAAAATGTATTGATTCTGTTTTCTTGAGCAACGGTCAAAGACCAGAACGGAAATAATTAGTTGAATTAGTCGTGGCCACCAGTAACGTAGATATTTGTCAAGTGTAATAGTCACAGATATTACCGATTAATGAGAAGTGATAATATCTCTTTGTTATTATAGATGCAAAAACAAACTCAACTTTCGCAGTTAATTGTGTTGGGATGTGGTTCCTCTGATGGTGTACCTCGTGTAACATGTTTAACGAAAAAAACTCAGACAGATTATTGTAAAGTTTGTCATGAAGCTAATCCATTTAACAAAAGTCAAAAATTAGGCAATGATGAACGTTCAAAAAATTTTCGTCGTACCATTAGTTTATTATTAAAAATAACAAATTCAAATTCCAAAGATCAAACTAAATCACCATTTTATCATATTGTAATTGATGTTGGTAAATTTTTTTACGCCAGTGCCATGGAATGGTTTCCTCAATATGATATAACTCATTTGGATTCGATAATTCTTTCACATAATCATGCCGATGCCTGTTTTGGCATTGACGATTTGCGAGATTGGTCGAAACATCTCGGACAAGACGGTACAATGATTCCTGTATATATGCATAAAAAAGATGAGCATAAAATTACTGAACAATTTCCTTACTTCGAATCTTCAGTTCAGGAGGCAAAAGAAAAGGGAGGTGGTGGTGTGCCGGCATTAGAAAAACGAGAACTCATTGACGGAAAACCAATAGAAATTGTACCGAATTTTTATATTCAAGCGTTCATTGTTAATCATGGCCAAGTCGATAGTTTAGGTTTCTCATTCGAGGGACCAAATCACGAGAAAATTGTTTGGTGTAGTGATGTTAAATTCGTCCCAGAAAAGTCTTTATCGTTTTTTGAAAATTTGGATATGCTCTTTTTAGACTTGGTATACGATTTGAATCATAAACAACATTCGTCACATTTTAATTATGACGATTCGATCACATTTATTCGAAAACATAAACCAAAACAAACTTATTTTGTTGGTATGAATCATACCGTTGACTACCGAACGATGAATGAAAAATTAAAAAAAGAGTTTGAACATGATCAGAATATTAAAGCTGAACTTGCCTACGATGGACTTGTTGTACAGTTTTAGTAGTATAAGTTTATACAAACTAGCACGACATATATGTAAATAATCTAAATGTTGATAATTCTGTAAGAAGAAAATGCATTGCACAGAAGGAGTGGACCAGTTGTGAATAACAATAGGGGAATATTTCCGATTTTTTACTAAAGTATAGAGCGCTGTGAACTCACTGATAGCGAATATTTTGATGAATAATAGTAATTTCATTATTACTTTGTCAACGTTGTATAGGGCGACAATAAATTTCTATGTTAAAAATAGTTTTTCAAATACAATCAATTTGACAGTAGTTAAGAATAAGGTGCCACAAATGCAAAATTCGAGCAAGGTTTTTTTCGAACATATTATACACGGTTGAATAGCCTGGAAGCTGGGGATCAAGAATATGTCTGTTTCGATCTTTCAAAATCCTTTCTTAACTTGAATAATGTGCTATCTTCTTCGCTTTATTCCGTAATCATAATAATAATCCAAATAAGCACACGCGTAAAAGCATTCGCAGAAACACAGCAACTTACATAAAATTTACACATAGTTGAATATGTGAGAAACAGTTTGTTATCTCTACCAAATTACGCTTTTCTTCAGGTGATCATGCAGAAAATCGTACATTTTTTTTGTCGGTCTGTGATGGGAGGCATATGAAAACTTTCTATAGTTCTTCATTTGAACAGAGCCCTCAAGCGAAAGAAAGTTTCAAAAAGGTTACCAAGCACTTGTTTTCATGTCGATTCCAAGTTGTGAGCTCTTTAATTTTTCAGGTGGAATAAAACTTATAGTTTTCCACTTTAGAAGACTTTATTATACAAGGTGATCCAAAAAAAACTTACCTCCTATGTATTTATTGACTTTCTTGTGTACAAATATAATTGAACTTTTTATCATTAGTTTATTCAAATAGAGCAAAGATTTCTGGACAAAATGAGACGTCTCCGAGCTCTATAAGAACTTTTTTCATGAAACAGCATTGAATTTACGGAAGGTCCCAAGAACATATTTTTCTTGTTTGCCTCTTAATTGTCCCGATTTTGGTGGTATGGGACCTTCCGTAAATTGAATGCTGTTTCATGAGAAAAGCTCTTCGAGAGCTCGGAGACGTCTCATTTCGTTCAGAAATCTTTGCTCTATTCGAATAAACTAATGATAAAAAGTTCATATATTTGGTTCGTTATATTTGTACACAAGAAAGTAAGTATTTTTTAACTCATGCCGTCTTCCATTCGGACTTCTTTGATGTTACAGAATATTTCTCTTAACAATACTCATTCTACACCCAGTAGTTCAGTAATATCTTTATCTGGCCCTCGACAATCCACGTCAATTGAGCGCTCAAGCACATCTCATCGGTATGCGTGAAAGAGTCTGTAGAATGAGTGTGCTCAGTATGTTTTTCTAAATACTTAAAATATACTGATCATAGAACCTCCGTAGTATGTATTTCATACAAGCCACAAAACATAGTTCTGCTGCTACAGAGTCAACGGAAGATGGTAAACGAGAAAGTTTTATTTCTGAACTGGTTCGTTTAAGGTTCGCTGTTGCTCTAGCCACATCTACAAAAGAGAATTGAAAAGTGAAGCTTTTCTTAGTATACAAGTTAACGATTAGGATAAGATTCGTGTTATACCAAATGATGTCCTTAATATGTCGAATACAACGAGCCATATTCACATCCTGGTGAGGGCGCTGTGTATTGGCTGCCGAATGGTTTGAAAGCTGACCGTAAAAGTGCATGTATTCTATAGACAGAAGAAAATAGTACCGAGATGTGGCGCCAGCATCAGGATGTGAATATGGCTCATTCGTTCTACATTGCTACCTGTGAGAGTTTTTCATGCTTCGCATGTGTTAACTAACCAGGATTATCAAAACACAACTGGTTTGAACAAAGGCCGGTGATATATTCGTCGCTGTCTTCTTTTTATCCATCACGGTGGAGTCATGTATTTATTTTTCAGACGATTTTTACTTTTAATGAATTAATTGTCTCTCTCAATAATTTTCATATTCGTTCTACGGAAGAGAATAAGTCCAACGCATAGTTTGAGTTGTAATACAAACTTTTCGTTCCTAGTTACTTGAACTGTTTTGACGAAACGGATTTGATATTGTAAGAGGATAATTTGTTTCAACTGCATGTAACTTTGAAAGAATAAACAGGAAAAAAGTAAGATTTAGACTTGTGTATGCTTTGGTTACCTATCGTGTAAACTATTTAACATCTCACCTATCATAGCTGCCGAAGCTGTACTAATATTCAAAACAGAGCGAGGCCTGAAAAAATTATCAGTGAACAAATAATCAGTAAATAATCGTGAAGAAAGGTGATTATGCTGGTTGGAATGTTGTGACAAAAAACTTTCCATTGTTTGATTTTGCCGTTGACTGATTCCACAACCCATCTCAACTTAGTAATACATCTGGTCTCGTTTTCTTCGGCAGGATCTAATTGGTTTTGCCGCCCAAAAATCCGGCATAGCAACAGATAAACCGACTTCTATCATCATCTTCACTACGTCTCTAAATCCTCAACGACAATAACGTAATTTTTCTCCAACCGTTTAAGAATATCATAATAATTGTTCAACAAGCTATGTGTAATGATAGCAGCATCATTATCTTTGGCGTCAGAAAAGAACGGTCCTAAGACAGTAAGGAGATAACCTGCTATAAAGAAATATATAACAGTTGGGAAGTCCGAGACAGAGTAGATGAACTAACGATCTGTGAAAGTTATCAGCATAGGCTTCAAAAGAGATCGACTTTTGTATATATTGTGCGATTTACGCTGAAAACGGTTATTTTTTTGGACGTACAAGTGTGTACCGTCAATAACAATACAGACTTGATGCGCACTATCTGTTAGCAGTTGTTTAACAATGATCAGATTTTGTATGCTCAGATATCATCTGTTCTAGTATTAAAATGAAGAAATGAATATTAAAAAATTGAAAATATTCTAGAAGTGGCATAGAAGAATTTTTTCATAGCATAGACAAGTCTAAATCTCACTATTTTGCTGTTTATTCTTTCAAAGTTGCAATTGAATCAAATTATCCTCTTCCGGTATCAAATTCGTTTCGTCAATATATTCAAGTAACCAAGAACGAAAAGTTTGTATTACAACTCAAACCGTGACTTGGACGTATCTTCCGTATACAGAAGAACAATCGAACAAGGAACGTAAGTGCCCGTTAAGAGCAAATAAAACATTTAACCGTCTTTTTATTTTTCTATTCTTCATTTGCTGTCGACCCATTTTAACCTTTTCCTCTATCTCCTTTTTAGATCGACGAGCGTTTCGGTCGTAGCTGGAAAACAAGAAAAACAAGATACAGCTAAACCAATGAAGGATAGCGAGTGAAAGGAACAAATCTTTCAATTGCTAAATTTGCGTTTAACTTTAGTAATGAATCAGGACGTTGAAGTACCTCAAGCATATATTATGGATTTACCTTAGAAGGAATCACGTTTTTTATGTCCTTTCACAATATGGTTTTATCAGAGTAAGTCAATCGTTTATATTTTAGCTTTCACAAAATCACCATTTTTTTTTCTAGAAACATTTAGCAACAACACAAAGGAAATTTACATTTATCCAAATCTTATCCGTCATGAGCATCTGTATACAAATACTGAAGAAGCTGCGTTGACGATAGATTCGTTAAATGGTAAATCATTCTTATGTCTTAGTTCTCGGTAACTAATTTAAATATATTTATTTAAGCTAAATATCCTGAAGAATTTTCTTATAATTTGATAAATGTGAACCTTAGTCGTCGTTACTATCAGAATTACGTTTTACGGCGCAAACCATGACCACCACCAGCAACACATCAAAAAGGTCATGATAATCAAAGTAACCGTAAAATGTCACCGTTATTAAAAATTTTTGATTTTTTTAATGTTATACGCTGCTTTCTTTTCTTATTTTGTGCTGTCGTTATTTTTGAATTGTTTATGGACAATACAAGTTTTTGGTCGATTTAGTTATGTTTTTGTTTTTAAGTGTTTTCTAGAATACATCGGTCATTTGATCAACGCACTAAAGCATTTTTTCTAAAACTATAAAGGAAGCAACTTGCATTCACACTTAAAGGAGTGAAACACATTCACGAAAAGGAGTTCTGAGTGAGCGACATCTTCGTGTTTATCTACCTACAGTTGCTGGTGAGCAGCGCAGTGCACAAACATGCGAGGGTGTCTGAGCATATCTCAGTGTAGGTAACGAAACAGCATTATAAGGCTGCGATACCGATGAGTTAAGCTACAAATCAGCATTAAGTTGAGCAACTGTTGTTCACATACGTGCAAGGATTCTTCTGAAATATATTAGAAAAACACGTTATTCCCAACTGTTTTGTGAAATATCTGCCTCAACAGTTTCTACAGAAACATCCCAGCATAATGGCGTCCGTGAATGGCGGTAATGATGGCTTCTATTATTGTTGATATTAGTGCCTCTCTCTTTTTTTACACAGTAAGCAACTCACAACATGAAGCGTTTTTACAAGCGAAAACACTTATTATATCGTTGATCTAGGCAAACTATTGATTATAGGAGTATTTGTTTAGAATAACAGAAACCATACTCTAACCCCATCACTATCCTCCAGTTGTAGGTACGAGTCATTCGGTGTATGACACCGACTACGCTACGTATCGTAAAAGAAGATGACAAAGTACTATAATGATAACAGAAAGAGAAAAAGATAGAACAATAATATTATACTGAATAGTAACTATTATCGACGCCAAAAAGGTTTCTAAAAAATCCGGGCTATTTTTTCAAAGATCCCGTAGAAAACCGATTTTACTGTCGTTTTTGGACAACCACTTTGCTTGCGAAAATATTGGTCAAAGTGTCCTCTTTCGATTGTTGAAAACTGTAAGTCTTTATCTTTTATAATTTTGGAGTTCTTCCATAGCAAATCAGACTTATTTTTTTGGGGGCGGTTTAGAGAAAAACAGCATACATATTCTGATTCCTTTTTGCATGCAGATTT